CCCCAAAACCCCAAAACCCCAAAACCCCAAAACCCCTTCTTAAAATTCAAATTTGCCAAATTATAATTTCCCACACTCAAAATGGATCCTTTCCAGACTGACCACAGAACAGTTTTAGCTCTGACTGCGTTCAGCCTGGCCACACTCCTGGCTATGCTAGGAGTGTGGCCAGTGCTAGGCATCATTGGAGTAATACGGATTTTGAGCAATCTGTGCTATGCCATTGGATTGTTAAGAGAATTTCTGTGAAGAACAAAGCAAAATTTAGCTGAGAAATATGGAAAAGGCACTTATGCGTTGATCACAGGTGCTGCTCATGGCATCGGGCTTGAGTATGCGAGACAGATTGCTAAAGAGGGATTTAATTTAGCTCTATTAGACTTGGATAAGGTGGGACTTGATATAGCACATGAGATTATTAGAAAAGAAACTCCTGATGTGAGAATTGTAGCTGTTGGCTGAGACTTAGCTACGCTCAGATCTGTTGATCAGTTTGAAAAAGCATTGCAGCAAGTCTTAGATCTAGATATCTCAATTTTAGTAAATAATGTGGGGATATCAACATCTCTCCCATTTGAAGAAGGCTCACCTAAAACAGTTAGTACCATGGTCCATTTAAATATGACTTCTGTCGCAGTCTTTACTTCATTGATTTATAAAAAGATCCTGAATAGGGTAAATTTCAGCTCAGAAGAGCCTAATAAACATCCTAAAAGTGCTATCATCAGTATGGCCAGCTGAGCGGGATATGTAAGAAAATTAAAAAAATCACCTTTAGATTCCCTTGAAAATAGCAGTGGTGTATTCAATGACAAAAGCATTTACTAGATTCTTTATGGATAGCCTTAGCAGTGAAACAGAGATAATAGATTTCCTCACAGTAAGTCCTGGATTTGTCTCTACTCGAATGACGAATCACCGGAAAGATGCTTCCACTATCTCAACTGATTATTGTGTATCTAATGCCTTAAAAGCATTAGGTAGGTTCAAAGAGACCAGTATCGTACCTAAAATTACTCTAACCTACGGTTGGATCTCCCAAAGTCTCTGGTACATAAATAACGATCTCTACTCAAAGCATCTCAACTACGCCTTGAACGACTCTGAGTCTCAACAAATGGGGATGGTTCTCGCTCAAAAAGAGCGTGAAAGAGACCAAAATAATGTTTGCAAATAGCCATTCCGCAACTTAGCAAATAATTTCCTCTAAATTATCTTCAATTTTCTCAGCTCAAAATGGGGTTTTGGGGTTTTGGGGTTTTGGGGTTTTGGGG